AGAGTGAGCTCTTCCTCTCGATCTTTTGGCCAAAAAATTCTCTGGACGCTGAAGTAGCTTAGATAAAGATGGACCTGACGATGTTCTGTTGTTGAAATTCTCAACAGCCTCCTTCAAACTCGAAGACTGCGCACGCACAGCATTCATCATGTTTCCTGTCACCTCAAGCATTTGAGGTACTGGCATTGCTGAAGCAGCTGAGGCTGGGGACTTCGGATGAGACGGAGTACCTGCTGTGAACGGATTAGTGGCTCCTGAACCCTGTGCTGCCATTGCTCAGACAAACAGACAAGACAGTTTCCAAGGTGCTTTTCACTCGTGATCACTCTCCAAATCAATTGCGCAACTGGACGCAAGCGATGTAGAAAACCTTGCCCTCTTCGGACTGGACCCAAAATCAAGATCACCAAGCTCGGTTCGAACCTTAGAAATTGATTGAAACACGGATGTAGTAGCAGATGAAGAGCTCTTTCTAGCTGTAGCAGCCGAAGAAGAAACCAAGTCTGGATCTCCACTAGTTTCTTGATCAAACAATGGAACAGGTTGTGCAAAATCACGCTCAAACAACTCAAGGTCGCGCTCAAACGAAGATGCTTCCCTGTCTGGATGAATGAAATCTTGCTGGGCTTGCTCAGACAGTGCAAACTCACTCACGTCGTCAAACACAAACTCACGAAAAGCTGCTTTCAGATCGTCAACCTTCAAAGTCTTGTGCGCAAACTGGTAAAGCTCGACCACAGAATGCAAGGAATCTAGCTTCGAAATCAAGCTTGTTTGAACAGAGTCCAAAATGGACTGCCAAGATCTCTCGCTTCTCCCTTCAGGTTGTTTCCGATTCAGCAACTGTTCCAAATGATAGGTTGCTACGCGGTCCCTCACGGACTGCAAGGATCCCTCGGTAGCCGTGCTTGCAAAGAACCCTGGAGCTACAAGTACTGGCCGCCCGCCAGCTGCACCGCACACCAAGGAAGGACCGTGCTGCCAAAGCAGTGCTCAGGTCTATCCTACACCACAGGGCCTGCTACTCCAACGGAGGTCTGGGTCCTGCCTCCACGAAGCTACTTCGTCCCGAGGTGCAAAGAGATCAGGATCGGTGTAGCTCCGCTACCATGAGAAACTTTTCCACTCCAACCAAAGCGCCTACAGATTCAAGTCTCTGTCAAGCTGTTGCATGTCCACATGCATGGAAAATCACATGGGGTCATATAGAAACTATACATTTTGCAAATACGCTGCAGCACGGTAGTTCATAAGGATCCACAATCAAGTTTGTACAAACAACCTTCGTCTGGCTGTGCACCTTGCTCAGGGTACGTTGTGGCTCAAAACCGTGCTAGCAGTGATGCGCGGGAAGTGCGTCGTGGCCAATCACGCCTCGGAGTCTGTCAGCAACTGCAGTCAGATCAGTTGTTTGCTTTCGATCCTAAACTGTACCATTAAGCACAGTTAGGTGACGGGTCAGTCAGTCGCTTTAGTGAGATATACGCCTCGTGCTTTACATACTTTGTCCCTTCAAGATCGAGCAGCCCTTGCATCCTTGGGGTTTCCGTTTTTGCCAGCTACCAGTACAGAGTTTGGTCTCTCGATGAGCGTCGAAATCTTCTTGCGCGTCATCATACCGTCCCTCGGACCACTTGGTTTGCTCCTAGTGAGCGGGAAACCCTTCCTGTTAGTTCGCGCATGTTGTCAAGCGTGGCCGCAGTACAGCAGGTTCTCACCTCTGGGGAAGTTGGTGATCAACTTCTCGCGTGGCGTCATCAATCCAAGCACACCCCTCCGCTCTTCACAGGTCGAACTGTCTTCCTGTGTAAGGCACCTACCTTTGATGACCGCGCCGGTCTAGTGTTCCACCCAGCCTCCAGAACGCAAGAGCCCCTGCCTGGGCTCGGGTGAGGGTAGCGGTAATGGCAGGGATGTTAATGAGAATGGTAGTAGTGCATCATTAGGTGGAAGTTCCAGGCTTCAAAAATTTTCACGGTCCCTACTAATTAAGCATTATGTTTGTGTGGAGGCTCATGGATCGGGGGAGACATTGGTAAGAGCGACACGGACATCCAGAAGGTGAACAACGTTGAGAAAGCAAAATCTAGTGATCAAAGCCCTAATGAAAGGGAGATCGCTCAGTCAAAGCGAGTTGAAGATCCGGGGTATAATTGCGATGAAGAAAATCAGACTAGGGAGAACAAGCCCAATTCAGTAATAAACCCTGAGTGGGGCAGTGAAACAGATGAGTTCAGGTAATTGTTCCCCCTCCTTTACAGTCGCTCGCTCTGCGTTCCTCAGAAAAGTCTCCTGAGTCTACTACTTCACGCCGGTTATATGCTACAAAATGGCCAGTTGAGGTTGATTTAAAGAGGCGGCGCAAGACCTCTGATATCAGTATATCACCAATGTCTAGTTGGTCAGGAGTTGGGGCTCCACAGTTCCGGTAAGGGACAACTCGCTAAATTGATAAGACTGAGATCGATGAATTTGCTCGGATCCTAGCAAGTTGTGAGGAGCAAGCGTAAGACTTACAAGGTCATCTTGACGTGTGGGAAGGTGGATCGCACGCAGTTAGAAGTATGGCAGTTATAGATCCTCTGGAGGAGGTCAGTGCTCCCACTGTTCCCCATAACACGGTTCTTCTAAGAGAGTGGAAACCGGATGTGGAAGGGACCAATGAGGGTCCCAAGATAGCAAGTGTAGAAGTAGGAGAAGGAAATACAGATGTTCCTCTCCAAGCCCGCACCATTCCTCTAGAAGAAATAAAAGCCAATACTGAAAAGTGGAGACCCTCAATCGAGGCCGAGTATGAGTCTCTATATAATACGGAGGCTGTCGAGCCACTGAGTGAGGAAGGTTCCCAGGATCTACTCCTGGAAAGTCAGTCCACACAATCAAAGCTTATACTGCTCGCTTTAAGACCAGAGTAGGTTGAGGAAATGACCAGCACAATGAAAAGGGGACTAAACTGGATACATTCTCAGGAGGGATAGACACACATAGTTTACGGACGCTGTTGCGTAACGCCGCCCTCCGTGAGTGGAGAAAGTTGGGACCCTTGACGTTACTACAGCTTTCCTTAACGCCGATATGACCGCGAATAAAGAGGCTATTGTAGTTAAGGTTCCCGCAGTATTTAGAATGGTCGGCATTAAAGACAAGTAGTGGAGAGTACACAAGGCAGTCTTGGAGTCTTAGTAGAAACAAGACTAAGACTCTGCACGGCGAACGCCTGCAGTATCTAAGCAGGTAGTTCCTGAGCCTCCCGCAGTGCCTGAAAGTGAATCTCTGGCAAACGACGCCTGTTTAGTGAGTGAGCAATCAGACGTTAAGACGTTGAAGGAAGTTTCCCCAAAAGAATTCGCCGCATACATCAAGGTGGAACAGCTTGATGGTGGCGTACCCGCCAAGTTCGTTCAAATGGTAGAAGACGCAAACGTCTGGAGAATAGTTCCGCAGGATCAAATGGAGACACATTGGTCTTTTCGTTGACGATATTTTGATCACTGGTGACTATGCCGAGTTAATTGCCAGTACATTAAGCCAACAGTGGAAAACCACTAAGCCTCAGTGTTTAGACCAAACAGGTCTAGCTTTCCATGGGTGTGAAATTATCTCATTTATCTCGCATCAGGAAAGTTCGTGGCTGAAACTCTGAGTCGATATCAGCATATTGACGGTATCTCCGAAGTGCCAGCTCTCAAGGTCCCATGGCCAGAAGCTCCTGAGAAATCTGAAGTACCTAAGGAGCATTTAAAAGCCGCCCAAACAGCAGCCGGTGAACTGCAGTGGTTAGTAGGCCGCGCCAGACCAGATTTGCAGTACGCAACTATGGCTATTAGCCAATTGCTTACTACTAATCCCCTAGAGGCTTGTAGGAGAGCCGAAGTAGTTATCAGGTATCTTCGATGGTCCTCTAAGGTAGGCCCTAAGTACGATAGGGCTCCTAACAACTTCGGTAAGTGGGAAGAGCTCACGCGGACGCGTGACCACTTCATGTTGGTGAGTGATGCTTCCTTGGCACCTGCTGGTGGTAGGAGCATAGGAGCGGCACAAATCTTGTGGGCAGGCAGCCTAGTGTCTTGGTGTGGAGGACGCCAGCGTACAGCAGAGGCAGAGTTGCTGTCTCTTACTGAGGCGTTGGCTAGAGCCGTGGAACCCCTAATTGCAGCCTTTCATAGGTTTGGGGAAGTTAAAGGATCCCTTCGAAAAGGGCTGTGTGCGGATAATACAGCAACTCTCCAGTTATGTCAGCTGGAGTCAGGCTCTTGGCGTACAAGGCATATCCGCCTTCGCGCAGCCATAGTCAGAGAGGCCCTCGGAAACGAGTGGAGGGCTGCCCATTTGCCTGGGTTATGTACTTTCGCAGATGTAGCTACTAAGGCAGTAGAGCCACAGCGATTAGCGGATCTAATGCGGGGGTGATGGACTTGTACACACCTCACGTGGAGGTATGTGATGACCCCCCAACACCCATCAGTGCCGGCAGTAAGAACGGTTTGAGTGGCTACGAAAGTGCTGATTGCCTTGCTTTTGCTTGCCCGGATTCGTCCTGCGAAGGCGGAACCTAGTGAGATAGGCTCTGTGTGGTCCTTGGAGTCTAGTGATCTAGGCTCCTGAAGCCTGTTAGTGGGCTTAGTATGCCTAAGTAGCTGGGCTTATTATTGTTTTAAGATCTTACTGGGTCACGTTGTGCATTCCCAACGCAATTGGGTGACAGTTGGTATCCCATTGGCTGCAATGGCAAAGCT